TCAGCCGGGTAAGCCTCCCACTTTGGCTCAGGTCCTGACCTCGCAGTCTATGAGTTCGAGCCCCGTATCAGGCTTTGTGCTGACAGCTCAGAGCCTGGAGCTTGCTTTGGATTCTGTGTTTCCCTCTCTGTCTGTCCCTCCCCCGCTCATGGTCTATCTCTCTCAAAAATAAACAAACATTAAATACAAAAGGATGGTATATTTTCCTTCATTTTCCAAACTTCCTGTGATACAGGCACCTAACGATTCTAACAACAGCTTCTTAAAAGTACTAGTTGGTTGTTTAGCAGATCAGTGCTGGAACCCTACCCCTCTGCATGCCCAGAAAGCCCCACGGGCACGGCAGCCAGAGGGCACAGGCAGGGGCTCCAAGCTTTTCTTGGCTAAGGACAAGACTGGTACTTTCGCCCTGATGGCCAGGGTATGAGGTGGGGGCTGGGACCTGGGCCAGAGCCCCCCCCCCCCATCACCCTCACCTGGCTCCCATCAGACTCTCATCTCTGTGCTCTGCCACCCAGAGCACCCATATCTGTGCTCTGCTCTGTCCCTCTCCCTGCACTAGTGACTGTCCATTTCTCCTTGGCCTCTGACCTTGACTGCAGATTTCCCACCTAGAAGTCTGGCCCCAAGGGAATACAACCCTAAAGATGGAGAGAAGGGCTCCTCTGGTTGCGAGGAAGACACACCTGCTTCTGCCACTGGAGGTGGCCATAAAACTGGACTACATGGAACAGCTGTGTGAGGCCGATGTGAGCAGGCGGAGGGGAAGACCAGGCTGCGAAGCATCACTGGGCCAGCAGAAATTTACCATTGTTTTCCCCACTAGCCTAAACTCAATGAAGTCTGAAACCCCAAAGGGATCTGAGGGGTACAGACAGACAGAACTCTGGGAGAGGCCCTTTAAATCTCACTTAAGGAGTGGGAAGGGGGAGTCTCATGCTCAGAGTATGCAAAAACCCCAATTTTTGTGTGTTCTTTTCTTCTTCCTCTCGTGCCCCAGGCCACAAACAACCCTGTGGCAATGGGACAGCAACAGTTACAAGAACTTACAGAGGCAAAACTCTGGGGGAGGGGGAGCTTCCTCTCCACACTACGGAGCTGTGATCCCCAAAGGTGATGAATGCTGTTGCTTTTTTCTGTCTCCCTACCAGGTGACCCCAGAGACGGTCGTGGAAACACGCAGTAGAGCAGGGTGACAGAAGCCCCAGCTTCCTGGCTGGAGGACGGAGAGCGGGAGCCCCCCGAGAAGTGAAATGTACTAGATGCGTGGAGAAAATGACACCCTGTGGTTGTTTGTGAGCTCCCAGGCTCAGCCCCAAGCTGCAGATGCATGGATCTGACCATCTAACTATTATACCAAAAACTCTGAGAATGAAACTCACAGACCACCTGCCAGATCCCATCCTGACCACTGACCAGCACACCCAGGGCAGATCCAAGAGTACCACAAAGGCTTTGAAATCGGGACACTGGAACCATGTCCCACAGAAGGAGGGGTGGGACCTGCAGCCTGAACCAAACCAGGTGGGTCGCTGTTAGAGCAAGATACCAACATTCTCTCTCTCTCTGACAACATGCGGCCTCATAACGCAATATGCAAAATGGCCAGGATATAATCCAAAACCGCTCAGCACACAAAGAACTAGGAAAATCTCAACTCCCAGGTGAAGACGATCAGCAGCCACCAACATCAAGGTGACAGATTGTTAGACGTATCTGACAAAGACATCAAAGCCACTATTATAGAAATACTTCAACAGTAATACATTCTTCAGACAATTGGTGAAACAGAAAATCTCACTGCAAGCCACTTCAGCGGTCGCTATCACTACCTGGGAGGCCGTTTTGTGCCTCCTGCTCTGAAAAAGAAGTACCAGCTGAACTTGCCACCCTACCCTGACACTGAGTGCATCTACCATCGGCAGTGAGGGAAGACGGGCGGGCGTCCTTCCCAATAAAGACTTAGCGCCCCCTCCCAGCGCCATGGGGTCCTGGGAGCTGTTCTGGCAATAAAGGTTACTGGGTGGCAGGAGCTGGAGAGAAAAACAAAAAAAACAGAAAATCTCAGCAAGAAGATCTAGAAAAAAGCAAAATGGAAATTTCAGAACTCAGAAGACAATAACAGAAATAAGAAATTCAGTGCATGGGTCCAAGGGCAGAATGGAAAAGACAGACAGATGTCAGTAAACGTACAGATCGATCAATAAAATGTATCTGATCCCAACAGAGAGAAAAAGCTATGGAAGAGAAATGAACAGAGCCCAAAGGACTGTGATGACACAGAATGATCCACCACCGGCGTGGGTGTCATCGTCACCCATGATAGAGGGGAAAGAAAGCAACAATGAAACAGAATTTCTTAGAAATAATGGCTGAAAACGCTCCAAGTTTGGCAGAAGGTATAACTTGACTGGTCACCCAACCAGCAGGGGGCCGACTTCCACCCACTGCTCTGCGGTGGGGAAAGCACTTTGCCTTCTCTTTCTGCCCCAAGTGCCCACCAGACTCCTGCTTCCAATTGGGCTCAGCAAAATGTGTTTTACCCCCGACGTTTGGGTGCTAAAATTTCCCAGCACAGGTCAGAGAAATGATCCTGCGCATTGGAAATTTTGTAGAAGCAAGATTTGTTCATGTCATAGAATCCAAGTTCACCCTCTGCCCCAACCCTCCAAGGTGGGCTGGGTTGACGCTGCTCCCCAGAGGCCACCCTCGAGGCCAAGGCGGTGGATGAGAAAACCAAAAGCTTATTTGGTCCCTTCGGCCTCCAGGGGCCTCGATCGAGCAGTCTCTCTACCAATCACTAAAAACCACCTCCTACTGAGCCCTGTGCTAGGTGCTTGATGGACATGACTCTGGTTCACTCGTTTCTATGAACGGACCTCTGATCTCATTTTGTACCCAAGGAAACTCAGCCAAAAGTTAGGAAACTAGTCCAAGGTCTCAAGGTCCCTGCGATCTACTTAGGCCCCTGTCTCCTAACTAAGAACTGTCCCACTGCCACCAGATGCCCTGTGCAGGGATCTGGGTTCCCCAAAGCAGGAAAAGGCAGCTGCCTGGACCTCTTGGTCATCCCCATAAAGCCGGCCAGGCTCCCATCAGTCTGTGTGCGACATGGGAGTTCTCTGTAGGAAGAGCAAGTCGGAGTCCAGTTCACTGCTGTGGGCCCAGGTGCCTAGCAGGGGCCTAGCACACAAGTAGGTGTGTAAGGCCACACAGCCTGCTTGCTCGCATATTGGAAGGCATGCCAGTGCCTCGTTCACACAGAGGGGACCAGCCTCCTTGCAGCACAGGCAAGTTCAAGGCCTACGTGTCTAGCGGCTGAGAAGCCCCTTGACCCGCCAAGCCCCAGGCCCTCGGCTAGAGGCAGAAGCCCTCCTAATAGGAGGCCCTTCAAAGCGCCAGTGGGAACAGAGGAACGCAGGGGCTGCGGCCTTGTAACCTGGGAGACCCCAGGGAGCCAAGACTGCAGGCTGAGCAGATCCCAGCCGTGTGGGGCTCCCTCCTCAGGGCCTGTGGCCTGGCTCAGCTCTGAGGTATCTGAGAAGAGAACAGCTTCTGTGGCCTTCTCTCCAGAGGCTGCTGGTGGTAGTTCTACCGCTACCCCACAGGACCCAGCCTACAACCATGGTCTCCCC